CTAGAAGAAATCATATTTTCAAGCAGACAATGGACCAGTAAAACAAGTTTACACATTTAATGTCTCATGCCAAGCACAGAAATGACGTTATGACAAGAGAAAGATGGAAGAACAGAATTGTCACTAGCGTGAGTGTCCTCCTCTGGCCTGGATGGTAGTGCAATTTAATAACTTAGATTGTTACTGGCTGTACCCTCGATGGGGGTTGAAGTAGCGTAAAATTATTGTCCCCCTAAGAGGGTATGTAAGTCCCAAATCATTCGAAGTATTTTTCTGCATACTAGGCTTTTAAACGTAGTATACTCGTTAGTTTAATCTGAGGCTTAACTGGTACACTGTCGCCAGTTACTGAAGGGATGATATAAATCCTGCCGGGGTCCATGCAGGAAGCAAAAGTACTGTAAGTCCCCATGGTCCCCGGTATGGTGATCTCCCTTCAGTGACTGACCATTTCTAGCCCATTTTTATATTGTGTTGTTCATTAATGCTTTCTGCTTTTTAAATATTCTCAACTAGTTTTAAATCAAGTCTGTGATATTCTAGTTATTCTACTGTCCATCGTTGACAGCTTTTTATTTAGTCTAAATATATGTATCATAAATGTATCATAAATGTATAATTTCTCGTCACGATATGGCTGAAATACTGCCCATGTGACGTTAAATAATAACTCACTCACGCACTCACTCACTCTGGCCTGGATGCCTGCAATGCATCTCCTTCGCGTTGAACGGATTAAACGTCTAACACAATATTGTGGGATGGCATCCAATATCTCCACCAGCCTGTCTCTCAGTTCCTGCACTGTAGTCGGAGCAAGTGGCAAACGTCGGAGATGGCGGTCCATTTCATCCCACGTGTGATCAATTAGAGAGCGAGCAAGCCATGCGATCACATTCACGTTGTTCTGTCCAAGTGCTTGTCGAACACTCCGGGCTACACGGGGTCGGGCGTGTTGTCATTCTGAAAAAAAATTCCAGGTCAACGTTGATTCAAAAACGACACAACGATGTCCTGGTCACGGTAACGCTGCCCGTTCAAATTGCCATTGATCACTTGCAAACGAGTCCTCTGTCCCTCGGTGATTTCTCCTCACACCATAACACTGCCTCCTCCGAAACGATCTTCGCCCTCAACACAGTTCTGAGTGTAACGTTCACCGCGACGTCGGTATACACGTATTCGGCCATCGTCGTTGGAGACACGTCGGTGAACAAAGCTGTCTCCACTGAATTACGGTCCAACGCACTCGCTGTCTGCACCAATGCAGACACAATTGGCAATGATTGATGGTCAGAATTGGGCGTCTGGCTGGTCTCCTTGCAACAATCGTGTAACGTCTAAGACGGCGACGTACCGTGCCAATATTCAACAAAGGCCAGGGATGGTTCTCGTAGTGATTGTTGCAGACTGGAACCGATTTCGCAGATGGGTGGTTCGATTCCAACAAACTTGACAGACGCTCGTGACGGGGGGCCTGCCGTTCCATGGTCGGTCTCTGACAATGTTTGTTTGCTATCACTGCTGCCATAACGTCCAAATGGTGTTTCTGTGCACTTTCAATCACCTAGCAGCTTCACGCTATGACGTTCCTGACTGGAGCATTCCAGTGGCTCTCAAACAGTTATTTTTAGATAGGCGTGGCATCTCCAAACTTCAAATAATAATTAGGGCGGTCGGAGAGCCTGGTGGTTAAAGCGTTCGCTCGTGACGCCGAAAACCCGGGTTCGATTCCCGACATGGGTACACTATGTGAAACCCATTTCTGGTGTCCCCCGCCGTGATATTGCTGGAATATTGCTAAAAGCAGCGTAAAACCATACTTACTCACTCACTCACTAAAATAATAATTGAAATTTGATGTTTTTCTGTGTTGCAGTTGTCAAGACAAGCAGAAACAATCCATATTGAATCCCTGGTTCACACCATCAATTGCATCATTGCTGCATGAAAGAGACTTTTTGCCATCAGATCTTGCTTTTCTGCTGACGTTGTGTTTGTACCACATATTTTCATATTTCGTATCCGGGTTCGAACACCAGAAAGGTTTTTCTCGTATGCAACTGATTGGAAAGGGGTGTCACAACGTTTGTCGCTGAGTATATGTGTCGTGTGAAAATCAGTCCAACCACCCAGCAAGACAATGTTGCAGGGCATTGACCCTAACTTGACATATGAAGGAATGACGTCAATAACTCATATCAACTATACAAAAAGTCTTTTCGCCTTTTAAGTAAGAGGGGTGGCTGAAAAGTTCGGATACTAACTATGAAGGCTGTGTAGATTGGAGTTAGTAGCTGATTATATTTCAACATAATCCCATCCGCAGTCCGCACACTTCTGCCAACGATGTTAGAGTGTCTGGATCCAACTGAGTAGAAGGTTTCCTCCTGGTGGTGTACATCCGTGAAGATCCGGGGTGGAATAGATCTTTAGCAACCCATGCTTGCCGTAAAAGGCGACTATGCTTGTCATAAAAGGCGACTAACGGGATCGGGTGGTCAGGCTCGCTGACTTGGTTGATGCATGTCATCGATCCCTATTGCGTGGATCGATGCTCATGATAGCAATCACTGGATGGTCTGGTCCAGAGTCAATTATTTACAGACGGCCGTCATATAGCTGGAATATTGCTGGGTGCGGCGTGAAACAACAAACCAACCAACCTGGTGGTGTAAATTATCCTACATAACAGAAATGCCATAATCATTTGCATAATGCCTGACGGTGCCATTTCTGGATGTGATTCAAATCAGTTCAAAGCCACCGTCGCCGTGGCGCCAACAGAAGTGCCCTGTCCTGGTGGAACAACACACCTTTACACTCATCCATGGTCACAAATCGATCAAGAAAATCAGCTGGGTCTGTTTCAAAATTACATGAGACCGCCTCCCTGGTCTATTGGTAGAGCGTCCGCCCGGAGAGCGGAAGGTCCGGGTTTCGATCCCCGACCGCGTCATACCAAAAGACGATTAACGATGGTACTTGTTGTTACCCTGTCTGGCGCTCGGCAATAAGGGGCTAAAACAACGACTGGTCGGCTCGGAGTCAGTATACTGTGTCTGAGTGGGGTATTCATGTTAAACTGCGGCATGGTATCTCAGTGAGCTAGCACTATAAATCGGCATCAATCTGGACTAGTACAAACAGCAACAGAAACACACATGTGCATGCATGTCGCTATATAAGTGCAATAATTTTTGGACACGACGTTTAACCCCATTTAACCTCACCTCACCTCAGTACAATATTACCTGAATTTTCATGACAGGTGATGAACCCTGGAGCATTTCTGATTCAGGAGTCAGAAGCCTTCGAACAGGCATGAGGAAACCTTTGTCATACCCGTTCATTTCTCAAAATGTTGTCTCGCCAACCACTGAAGGGATGGTGTAAATCCTGCTGGGGTCCATGCAGGTAGCAAAAGTACTGTAAGTCCCCATGGACCCTAGTGCGGTGATCTACCTTCAGTTGTTGGTGATCTATAGCCTGTTTTTATATTGTGTTGCAAAATGATAATATATTTTTACATGCTCTCTAACCAGTTTTATGTAAATCTGTGATATTCTAGTTATTATACTGCCCTTGGTCTGCAGAATTTTATACAGTTTAAAATATATTGTTAATGTCAAATTTTGTTTCGTCACAATATAGCTGAAATATTGCCGATGTGATGTTAAACTTTAACTCACTCACTCACTCAGAATATTGTCAAGTCTCTCATGAGAGATACCTACTGCATTGCCTACATGACGTGGTGAGAATGTTGTCAAGTCTCTCATGAGAGATACTTACTGCATTGCCTACATGACGTGTGGTGAGAATGTTGTCAAGTCTCTCATGAGAGATACTTACTGCATTGCCTACATGACATGTGGTGAGAATGTTGTCAAGTCTCTCATGAGAGATACCTACTGCATTGCCTACATGACATGTGATGAGAATGTTGTCAAGTCTCTCATGAGAGATACCTACTGCATTGCCTACATGACATGTGGTGAGTTGTCATTCATCCATAATCAGTAATGGGAAAACCGTGAGGAATCTGTTGATGCCTCAAGTTGAATCATCAAGCACCTTATAAAATGTCTTTTATAACATTCCACAAATAAACAAACACCTTGACCCTTAATCTTAATGTCTATCCCATCTGAGTCTGCTACCTCTTCAATGATTACAAAACAACATGAATATGAAATATAGACATTTAATTGATACACCTTTACACAAACAGTTTGCTAATTGCAGTAAATATACAACAATGGTAAATAAACATTTTGAGAATATAACAAAGAGAATATAAATATCTTAATACAAATAGAAAACTAAATATCACAGGCAAGAACATAATTACACAAACCAGGGAAATCTCCAGATAATGCTATATGTTGTATATATGGCATATTTCATTTGACGACTACTACAATTCAGATGATAATGCTTTATAAAAACAAGACACACAAATCATGAACAATAAAACAACACTGATCCAAAAATGGCCAACATGAACTGAATTCCTGAACAAGGTGGACGGAATGGTGATAATGGTCCTCATCTAAGAAAGACTAAACAGTATGAAAAACATTGCAGGTATTTGTTAATCATCACCGCACTCAGCAATATTCCAGCTATATTACGGCGGCCAGTAAATAATCAAGTCTGGAACAGACAATCCAGTGATAGATATTATGAGGTGATGTGAGGTGAAATTGGGTTTTAAGTCGCGTCCAAGATTATTGCACTTATATAGCGACCTGCATGTACATGTGTGTATGGCTGCTTGTACTAGTCCGACTGATGCCGATTTATAGTGCTAGCTCACTGAGATACTATGCCGCAGTTTAACATGAATACCCAACATAGACACAGTATACTAACTCCGAGGCCCCCAGTCCTTGTTTTAGCCCCTTTATGGGTAACAACAAGTACCATCTTTTAACATCTTTTGGTATGACGTGGCCGGGGATCGAACCCCGGACCTTCCGCTCTCCGGGCAGACGCTCTACCACTAGACCACAGAGGCGGTCTAGATATTATGAGCAAAAATCCACGCCGTCTGGGTACGATGATATGCAATCAACAAAGTCACCGAAACTGACCATCCAATCCACTTAGTCGCCTCTAACAACAAGGAAAGGTTCCCTTGTGACCTATATTTTAACCCAGACTCCGCATGTGGCCTCAGTAAATTACTGCCAATGACTTCCTGAACAGTTTTCATGCACTTAAGAAAATATGAGCTTCAATGCATTCTAGGCCAGATTAATGATCTCTGAGATCTGGGAATAATTCCAATATATGATTAACCACAAACTTCATGAATTATGAACAATTAGGAAGTAAGATTTAATCTCCACATCACCAGCTTAAACTGAAACACAAAACTGATGCTAAAAGGTTTGCCAAGGTTTACCATACTAAAAGGGGAATAAAGAATACTTTATTGCCAATTAATCATGTGCATGTTTACAATAAGATTATTAATAAGATCAATCTTGATTTCTATAGCCATAATAATAACTAAATAACAATAACAAAGAGTATAATCATCATCTTCCTGCATGAATATTTCGATACAATTAATGCTGGTTACAAAGGAAACAAAACTCAGCTTTGTAAGAGAGCCAAACAGAATCTTCTATAACAATAACCAACAAGCCCAACCCCTCCTCATCTTTAAAAACCCTATGAGTAAGAAATAGGTCAATGTGGTTTAAGACCCAAAGTGATGCAGGTCTCAGACGGTTACCACTTCGGTGAAACCCACGAGCACGGGTATGGTGCTGACAAACCTAGAAACATAATCTGGGCGAACCGGGATTCGAAACCCACAATCATAGGTTTCTGGCATGCCCAAGGGACGCAACTCTGCACAGCGAATCGCGGTGCCTCAGACGACTGGGCCACCTGTGCCCCCTCCAGCTATATTGAGGAACACCAAGATGGGCTTCACATAGTGTACACATCTGAGAGTCAAACATATATTCAGTGTGATGATCGAACAATTGATGGACTAGGCTACCCAACGAGCCAGTTGGGCTCTATGTCACTGATATAACTCTGTATAAGACCAATAAAAATCAAAGCCTATCAGATTAGCCTACAAACTGATGTGAACGTGCTTTAAGCTTGCAGTTGTGTATAAGGGGACTAGTGCTGGGACTAGAGTCTACAGTAAGGTGTGAACTGCAATAGTGATAATACTACATGCGTAAGTGAGAACTGTTTTATGTCCTGTGATGCTGATCCAAACAGAGATCTCAGCCCTATGACTGTCATAGCTCTCATGCTGTTAGGCACACCTACGATTGTCATAGTGCGAAGGAACAGATGTTGGTCACAGATCATATCACAATGCTGATTGCAATCCTCAGGTCTTGTGTGTAGTCAATGCAAAGAAATTCACTGATAAGGTAATGTCCATCAAGAGACTGATATGACACATCCGTCATGAGACAGACACATCAGTGATGAGACAGACACATCCATCATGAGACAGACACATCTGTCACAAAACAGACACATTTGTCATGAGACAGACACATCAGTCATGAGTTAGACACATCCCATATGAGACAGACACATCAGTCATGAGACAGACACATCCATCATGGGACAGACACATCCATCACAAAACAGACACATTTGTCATGAGACAGACACATCAGTCATAAGACAGACACATCCCTTATGAGACAGACACATCCGTCACACTGAGACAGACACATCCATCATGAGACAGACACATCCCTTATGAGACAGACACATCTGTCATGAGACAGACACATCCGTCATGAGACAGACACATCCATCATGGGACAGACACATCCGTCACAAGACAGACACATCTGTCATGAGACAGACACATCAGTCAAAAGACAGACACATCCCTTATGAGACAGACACATCCGTCACACTGAGACAGACACATCCGCCATGAGCCAGACACATCCATCATGAGCCAGACACACTTCATGAGACCTCCATCACAAGATCAACACCTCCGTACTGAGAATGACACATCTGTCACCTGAAACTGTTCCTAGTTCCACAGCTACAGTTGAACTTGGCAGCACTTCCGTACTTGCTGCGACACTGGGAACAACCACCATCTCCAAGGTTACTATTATTGCTGAGGTTGCTGGCACTGTTTTTTTTCTTCAGCCCCTCTCCATTGACCCCGAGAAAAGAATGGTTTGAAGCAGATGTCTGCTGACCTCTGCAAGTAAAATCATGTCAGACACATGAAATAATTACGACAAGATGAAAATAAAATGTCTCAAATTGAAGTTATGACAAATGGTTTTAAGGATGATTCACATGGGGGCAAATCTCAAATTTAAATTCTTCCTCTTTGCCAACATTGACTATATTTCAGGAGACATTTCACAAAGATCCAAATAAAATAAAAATCATCATTCATGTTTGAAGTAGAAAGTGTTTGTTTGTTTTACTGAACAATAACTTCAACTGATATCAAGAAGTCTTATCTTGGCGATAGACATCTTCAAAAGTTTGTTTGATTCTGTAAGCTCCTTCAGAATAGACAGCAAAGTCAACAGGAAATAATTGACAGATAATATACCAAGGACTAACTGTCATGAGGCTGGAATATGGATGAGTGCTGAATTGGCGACAAACAAGCCCAGCAATAAGCTCACTTGTACCTGCAGTTCCATCGTAGTAAAATTGAAGACTTTGTGAGAAGGGACAACTTACCTGCGTACCCCTGGCTGTGAGTGGAACGACACGTGTGGTTCTTCTGCAGAAAAGGTGGATTGAAATTATTCAAATATTCCAACAATTTCTCTATATCACATTAGGTAATTGTGTGCTGGCAAATCTATCTGATACCTGTTGCAGATGTCTGTCACTATAGTGTACGAGAGGGTTTCAAAATGTTTTCAGCCAAGGTATATCTAGAACTGAAACAGTATTGTAAGCTTTAATCATTTATCAACCCAGTCCCCTTGCAATTCAATACACTTGCTCCATCTCCTCTCCAGGTTAGTTACACCTCGTTTGTGGAAGGGCAAATCCTGGTCCGTCAAACAGCCCCCAACAGCAGCAACCAATCCTAGGCCCTTGTTAAAGGGGGCACGGCTGGCCCAGTCGTCTAAGGCGCCGCGATTCTCTGTGCAGAGTTGCGTCCCTTGGGCACGCCAGAAACCTATGATTGTAGGTTTGAATCCTGGCTCGCCCTGATTATGTTTCTAGGTTTGTCAGCACCAAATCCCGTGCTCGTGGGTTTCACCGAAGTGGTAAACATCTGAGACCTGCATCACTTCGGGCTTTCCTCCCACATTAAGCTGACACGCCGCGATATAACTGGAATACTGTTAAAAGCGGCGTTAAACCAAACTCACTCACTCACTCCTTGTTAAATCTCTGACCACAAAGTGTTTTTTTCAAATTTAAAAACAGGTGGTAGTCACTTGGGGACACATTAAGTGACTAAGCTTGATGGATTGGAAACTCTTGTCCACATTCCCATACTGCAGCCACTGCAACATGACTGGTGTGAACTGAACCAGTGTCCTGATGGAGGACAGACAACACCATGTGGAAATTTACCACGACTCTTCTTCTGGTTCTGGTTTGTTGTTTTACGCTGCACTGGACCAGACAATCCAGTGATTAATATCATGAGCATCGATCCACACAATTTGGATCGATGACTTGCATCAACCAAGTCAGCGAGTCTGACCACCCGATCCCGTTAGTCTCCTTTTATGACAAGCATGGGTTGCTGAAGACCTGTTCTACCCCGTATCTTCACGGGTCAACGACACCTCACATAATTGAAAAGATTGTGCAAGTCCACGCCACGCCACAGTCACAGACTTGCACAATCTTTTCAATTATGTGGCGTGATATTCACCATTCATAGAAGTTTCCCATGGAAAATAATGAAAGTGTATAATGCCCTTTCTGTCCCTGAAGAAGATGGCAATATCTTTCTTAGTGGATCTGGTTCCTTTAAATTCATTGTTTTAGGGATCTGAAGTGTTTCCACTCCATGGATTCTTGTGTCCTCATAGTGATGGATCCAGATCCTTTCACCTCTCACTACCCTACAATGCAACTCTTCGGGGTGAGATTATAGCTGTTTACAAGACATTAGAGGTGGTGAGGTGTGTAGTATTCTAGGAACAAACATCTGACATTTTCCTGAAGGATTGTGTCTACTGACCCAAACCAGAAGCCTGTGGTCTCCTCTAACTCATGGAGTGTAATGCACCTATTGTTCAGTACCAGGCTCTGAAACCGCCGCACACAGCAATATTCCAGCTATATGACGGCGATTTGTAAATAATCGAGTCTGGACCAGACAATCCAGTGATTGACATCATGAGCATCGATCCACGCAATTGGTGAGGTGAGGTGAAATGGGGTTTAACGTCGCGTCCAAGATTATTGCACTTATATAGCGACATGCATGTACGTGTGTGTGTTTGTGTGGCTGCTAGTTCTAGTCCGGACTGATGCCGATTTATAGTGCTAGCTCACTGAGATACCATTCCGCAGTTTAACATGAATACCCCACTCAGACACAGTATACTGACTCCGAGCCGACCAGTCCTTGTTTTAGCCCCTTAATACCGAGCGCCAGACAGGGTAACAACAAGTACCATCTTTTAACGTCTTTTGGTATGACGCGGTCGGGGATCGAACCCCAGACCTTCCTCTCTCCGGGCGGACGCTCTACCACTAGACCACGGAGGCGGTTTCCGCGCAATTGTTATCTATGACATGCATCAACCAAGTCAGCGAGCCTGACCACCCAATCCCGTTAGTTGCCTTTTACGACAAGCATAGTCACCTTTTACGGCAAGTATGGGTTGCTGAAGACCTATTCTATCCCAAAATCTTCATGGGTCTCATCAATATTTAGTTTTGTGGTGCTGGGTGGGCATGGGTTGACCAATGGCGAGTGTGTGTCATCTACCAAACTTCTCTCCCACACTGAAATACCTTCATCCAACATTGAATTGTCACATATGAGTGGGCAGCCTCCCCACAAACAGCATGCAAACCACTCATCAATATTTTTTGGTGATCGGCCTCTAAGATGAGAAATTTGATCTATGCTCCGGTTTGTCCTTTTCAATATGAAGGAGTAGGGTACCTCAGAGTAGAAGTAAATCATCAGCAAGTCACTGGTCTGTTTGTTTGTTTGTTTGTTTGTTGTTTACCGCCACACTCAGCAATATTCCAGCTATTTGACAGCGGTCTGTAAATAATCGAGTCTGGACCAGACAATCCAGTGAGTGACATCATGAGCATCGATCCACACAATTGGGATACGATGACATGCATCAGCGGCGTCAATGAGCCTGACCACCTGATCTCGACATCCGGTTCATTTGACCAATGAAGATTCCGGGGTAGAATTGGTCGAATTGGTCTTCAGCAACCAATGCTTGCCGTAAAAGGTGACTATGCTTGTCGTAAAAGGCGACTAAAGGGATCGAGGGGTTAGGCTAGATGACATGGTTGATGCATATAATCGATCCAAATTGTGTGGATCGATGCTCATGATATTAATCACTGGATTGTCCGGTCCAGACTCGATTATTTACAGACCGCCATCATATAGCTGGAATATAGCCGAGTGCGGCGTTAATCAACAAACAAACAACAACAACTTGAGTGATTTGATGCACTTCATGAGGAAAGGATGTTTTATTACAATATAGATCTTGTTATCGATCAGATCATCTTGACTGGGCGCCACCATTTTGTTGGAAGCAAATGCAAGTGATAGGAAAGGTGGAATATGATTGGTCAGTTGGAGGAACATAGAAGGGACATAACTCGTAATAGCCACTGGTGTCGCTATGATCAGGCTCAAGATTCCTGCCTAGTTCGTCAAGGGTGGAAACTGGACTTTTATGGTCAGTTAACATCCTTGCTTTGGGAAGATGAATTCAGATGGGGAATTACCTTTTGATTTGCCTCTGTCTCTGCCAACATGTGTTGCCTGGTGACCATATCTCCGAGATCCTGGAGTTTCTTCTTCACTAGAGTCACTCACATCTTCCCTCTTGCCTCCTGGACGAGGGACTTTCTTTGCATACTGAAACACCAAACATGGAACATGATTAAACAGTCAAGTAACCTGACAGCGCCACTACAACCTGCCGAGCTCTCTCTGACTATGCAGGGGCATAGGGTGACCCAGTCACCTAAGGTGCTGCCATTCGCTATGCAGAGTTGTGGCCCTTGGGCAGAAAACCATGATTAAGGGTTCGAATCCCGGTTCCCCCTGATTATGTTTTTAGGTATGTCAGCACCACACACTTGCTCATGTGTTTCACCAAAATGGTAAACATCTGAGACTTGCATCACTTCAGGCTTTCCTTCCACATCAACGCCCTAAGACATAACTGGAATACTGTTCACAGCGGCGTGAAACCTAGCTCACTCATTCACTTGATAACTGCCCTGACTAGAAATAGTTGTGATGCCAGCATCCCCCTCCCGGACACCCGGTCATCCATCCCCTCCCATCACCCAATGAGCAGGCACCCCATCACACATCATATCCCTGCCCAACACGGGTGAGCCATGTTGTTTTGTCCATCTCTCATACATAAATACAAATACACATACTACCCAGTACAGCAATCTGACAGTACCACTACTAACCTGCCTAGCTCTCTCTGACTTGCTGCCCTTGCTGGAGGTAATTGTGTGGCCAGTAGAACTCACGGGTGAGCCATGTTGTTTTGTCCATCCCTCATACATAAATACAAATACACATACTACCCAGTCAAGCAACCTGACAGTACCACTAACCTGCCTAGCTCTCTCTGACTTGCTAGCCTTGCTGGAGGTAGTTGTGTGGCCAGTAGAACTCACGGGTGAGCCATGTTGTGTTGTCCATCTCTCACACATAAATACAAATACACATACTACCCAGTCAAGCAATCTGACAGTACCACTAACCTGCCTAGCTCTCTCTGACTTGCTGCTCTTGCTGGAGGTAATTGTGTGGCCAGTAGAACTCAAGGGTGAGCCATGTTGTTTTGTCAATCTCTCATATATAAATACAAATACACATACTACCCAGTCAAGCAACCTGACAGTACCACTAACCTGCCTAGCTCTCTCTGACTTGCTAGCCTTGCTGGAGGTAATTGTGTGGCCAGTAGAACTCACGGGTGAGCCATGTTGTGTTGTCCATCTCTCACACATAAATACAAATACATATACTACCCAGTCAAGCAATCTGACAGTACCACTAACCTGCCTAGCTCTCTCTGACTTGCTGCTCTTGCTGGAGGTAATTGTGTGGCCAGTAGAACTTCTGGGTGAGCCATGTTGTTTTGTCCATCTCTCATACATAAATACAAATACACATACTACCCAGTCAAGCAACCTGACAGTACCACTACTAACCTGCCTAGCTCTCTCTGACTTGCTGCTCTTGCTGGAGGTAGTTGTGTGGCCAGTAGAACTCAAGGGTGAGCCGTGTTGTTTTGTCCGTCTCTCACACATAAATACAAATACACATACTACCCAGTCAAGCAACCTGACAGTACCACTACTAACCTGCCTAGCTCTCTCTGACTTGCTGCCCTTGCTGGAGGTAATTGTGTGGCCAGTAGAACTCATGGGTGAGCCATGTTGTTTCCATCATCTCTCATGCATAAATACAAATACACATACTACCCAGTCAAGCAACCTGACAGTACCACTAACCTGCCTAGCTCTCTCTGACTTGCTGCCCTTGCTGGAGGTAATTGTGTGGCCAGTAGAACTCATGGGTGAGCCATGTTGTTTCCATCATCTCTCATGCATAAATACAAATACACATACTACCCAGTCAAGCAACCTGACAGTACCACTACTAACCTGCCTAGCTCTCTCTGACTTGCTGCCCTTGCTGGAGGTAATTGTGTGGCCAGTAGAACTCATGGGTGAGCCATGTTGTTTCCATCATCTCTCATGCATAAATACAAATACACATACTACCCAGTCAAGCAACCTGACAGTACCACTACTAACCTGCCTAGCTCTCTCTGACTTGCTGCCCTTGCTGGAGGTAATTGTGTGGCCAGTAGAACTCATGGGTGAGCCATGTTGTTTCCATCATCTCTCATGCATAAATACAAATACACATACTACCCAGTCAAGCAACCTGACAGTACCACTAACCTGCCTAGCTCTCTCTGACTTGCTGCTCTTGCTGGATGTAATTGTGTGGCCAGTAGAACTCATGTGTGAGCCATGTTGTGTTGTCCATCTCTCATACATAAATACAAATACACATACTACCCAGTCAAGCAATCTGACAGTACCACTAACCTGTCTAGCTCTATCTGACTTGCTAGCCTTGCTGGAGGTAACTGTGTGGCCAGTAGAACTTATGGGTGAGCCGTGTTGTTTTGTCCGTCTCTCATTCATAAATACAAATACACATACTACCCAGTCAAGCAATCTGACAGTACCACTAACCTGCCTAGCTCTCTCTGACTTGCTGCTCTTGCTGGGGGTAATTGTGTGGCCAGTAGAACTCATGGGTGAGCCATGTTGTTTTGTCCGTCTCTCACACATAAATACAAATACACATACTACCCAGTCAAGCAATCTGACAGTACCACTAACCTGCCTGGCTCTCTCTGACTTGCTGCTCTTGCTGGGGGTAATTGTGTGGCCAGTAGAACTCAAGGGTGAGCCGTGTTGTTTTGTCCATCTCTCACACATAAATACAAATACACATACTACCCAGTCAAGCAACCTGACAGTACCACTACTAACCTGCCTAGCTCTCTCTGACTTGCTGCTCTTGCTGGAGGTAATTGTGTGGCCAGTAGAACTCAAGGGTGAGCCATGTTGTTTTGTCCATCCCTCATACATAAATACAAATACACATACTACCCAGTCAAGCAATCTGACAGTACCACTAACCTGCCTGGCTCTCTCTGACTTGCTGCTCTTGCTGGGGGTAATTGTGTGGCCAGTAGAACTCATGGGTGAGCCATGTTGTTTTGTCCGTCTCTCACACATAAATACAAATACACATACTACCCAGTCAAGCAATCTGACAGTACCACTAACCTGCCTAGCTCTCTCTGACTTGCTGCTCTTGCTGGGGGTAATTGTGTGGCCAGTAGAACTCAAGGGTGAGCCGTGTTGTTTTGTCCGTCTCTCACACATGGGGATGTGATGTTCTGCAGCCTGCTTGTTGAACATGCGACCACACCATTTACACGTCACAGGTGCTGGAAATGGGAGGACACATGTAGTCAGCCTACCATAATAAAATCCTCAGGCTTAAACACATGTTCCCAAGGCAAGTGAATTAACTGACTATAGAAGTCCAGTTTCCACCCTTGCCGAACAAAGGCTGGTACTATGGAGTTAGAGTTTGGCTTGACTAACGAGTCTATGCATAGTCCAATCAAAATCGCGCTCCGAAATCGAAATCCGGTTCGTAAATTGTCATGCAGTTTTCGGTTGATTGCAGGATTTGCACAGCATGTGCACTGCCAACTCCTTGTCAACAGATATTTTCGGAATCTTTTCCAGTTTTTAATCAAGGTGCTCACGTGATTTGATGTACTTCACGAAGTAAGACCCGTTTTCTCACAATATAGATCTTGATTATCGATCAGACCGTTTTGACTGGGCGCCGCCGTTTTGTTTGAAGCAAATGCAAGTGATACGAGAGGTGGAATCTGTTTGGTCCATAGGAGAGGCTTAGAAGGGACTTAATGTGTAACAGCCACTGGGGGCGCTACGATCAAGCCCAGGAATTCCAGCCAAGTTCGGCAAAGGAGGAAACTGGACTTTTAAAGGCAGTTAACAACCTTGCCTCGGGAAGATGACCTCTTAATTTAGCTGAATAACGTACTAAACAACTAAATAATCCCCACAAGGGCAACTTCCTGGATTCAGGTGTGAGGCAGCCATCTTACCAAAACGTTCCTCTGCAGCTCTGGCCCGTGCTGCCTGTTTAGCTCTGCGGATATGATTACGGAGTTCTGTATGAGTCTGGCGCCAGTCACCAGTCGCCTTCATAGGTCGAGAATTGATGTCTGGGAAAATATCTTCGTCATTGGAGCTATCAGTGAACCTGCCACAAGCCTGCTCATGCTGGACCTGAAAGAAGAATCCCCTTGTAGTGAAAAACATCTTTCGGACTAAGAGGATGTTAGATCTCGATCGATCACTTGGTCTAGGGAGTAGCGACTTTCAGAGGTGTCTGCAGTTCTCAGGATGTCAACTGAGTTATTGATCTATATACGGCTATGGCCTGATACCACAGGCCCAGTCATCTAAGGCGCAGCGATTCGCTGTGCAGAGGTTCGTCCCTTGGGCACACCAGAAAACTATGATTGTGGGTTCGAATCCCTGTTCGCCCCGATTATTATGTTTCTAGGTTTGTCAGCACCATACCCGTGCTCGTGGGTTTCACCGAAGTGGTAAACGTCCGAGACCTGGGCATTCCTCACACATTAAGCTGGCACCCCATGATATAACTGGAATAATGTTAAAAGCGGCGTTAAATCCAACTCACTCACTCACTCCCTGATACCACATGAAACAGTGATATTACCATTCTCTCTCTCTCTCTCTCTCTCTCTATATATATATATATATATATATATATATATATATAAATACTGAACCAAATTAAAAACTTAACAATCCTAAAATTTTAACATTTTGACCAGTTATCATTGTGGGCCCTTTTTTGTGTATTTAAACAGTAATGGCCACATATTGTCTTCAGATAACACCAGTTTTTGTGCAGGTGAATCAATCAAAATCATGTGCACAGCACTGTTGATGTTATTACTGTATACCGTAGGTGCTTGGAACAAATTATGGTTACCACCCTTAATTAAAATCCTTCTTTGGACATTAATGATTAAAAATTACCTTCTCTGATACATTTGTCCGTTGTATATCATATATGGGATTACTTTTAAAAATGTGAAGTTTTTAATTTGACTCAGTTTATATCAGCTTTGACAGACTTCCAACATGACTCACCAGTCTATAGGCACTGACAGGCTTCCCACATGACTCACCAGTTTACAGGCTCTGACAGGCTTCCCACATGACTCACGAGTCTACAGGCTCTGACAGGCTTCCGACATGGCTCACCTGTCTATAGGCTCTGACAGGCTTCCCACATGACTCACCAGTCTACAGGCTCTGACAGGCTTCCGACATGACTCACCAGTCTACAGGCTCTGACAGGCTTCCGACATGGCTCACCTGTCTATAGGCTCTGACAGGCTTCCCACATGACTCACCAGTTGACAGGCTCTGACAGGCTTCCCACATGACTCACCTGTCTATAGGCTCTGACAGGCTTCCCACATGACTCACCAGTTGACAGGCTCTGACAGACTTTCCACATGGCTTACCATTTCAAAGGCAGTGACATGCTTTCCACATGGCTTACAAGTTTACAGGCTCTGACAGGCTTCCCACATGACTCACCAGTTTACAGGCTCTGATAGACTTTCCACATGGCTTACCTTTTCATAGGCACTGACAGGCTTCCCACATGGCTTTCCATTTAATAGGCAGTGACAGGCTTCCCACATAGCTTCCAACATGGCTTACCAGTCTATAGGTTTTAACAGGCTTCCCACATTACTTACCATTTCATAGGCACTGATAGACTTCTAACATGGCTTACAAGTTTACAGGCTCTGACAGGCTTCCCACATGGCTTACCGTTTCATAGGCAATGACAGGCTTTCCACATGGCTTACCAGTCTATAGGCTCTGACAGGCTTCCCACATGACTCACCAGTCTATAGGCTCTGACAGGCTTCCCACATGATTCACCAGTCTATAGGCTCTGACAGGCTTCCCACCTGACTCACCAGTCTACAGGATTTGACAGGCTTCCCACATGACTCACCAGTCTATAGGCTCTGACAGGCTTCCCACATGGCTTACCATTTCATAGGATTTGACAGGCTTCCCACATGACTCACCAGTCTATAGGCTCTGACAGGCTTCCCACATGGCTTACTATTTCATAGGCAGTGACAGGCTTCCCACATGACTCACCAGTCTATAGGCTCTGACAGACTTCCCACATGGCTTACCATTTAATAGGATTTGACAGGCTTCCCACATGACTCACCAGTCTATAGGCTTTGACAGGCTTCCCACACCATGCAGATGGCTTACCATTCTACAGGCTTTGACAGGCTTCCCACATGACTCACCAGTCTATAGGCTTTGACAGGCTTCCCACACCATGCAGATGCCTTACCAGTCTACAGGCTTTGACAAGCTTCCCACATGACTCACCAGTCTTTAGGCTCTGACAGGCTTCCCACATGGCTTACCATTTCATAGGCAGTGACAGGCTTCCCACATGACTCACCAGTCTATAGGCTCTGACAGACTTCCCACATGGCTTACCATTTCATAGGATTTGACAGGCTTCCCACATGACTCACCAGTCTATAGGCTTTGACAGGCTTCCCACACCATGCAGATGGCTTACCAGTCTACAGGCTTTGACCAGCTTCCCACATGACTCACCAGTCTATAGGCTCTGACAGGCTTCCCACACCATGCAGATGGCTTACCAGTCTACAGGCTTTGACAAGCTTCCCACATGACTCACCAGTCTATAGGCTCTGACAGGCTTCCCACATGGCTTACCATTTCATAGGCAGTGACAGGCTTCCCACATGACTCATCAGTCTATAGGCTCTGACAGACTTCCCACATGGCTTACCATTTCATAGGATTTGACAGGCTTCCCACATGACTCACCAGTCTATAGGCTTTGACAGGCTTCCCACATGACTCACCAGTCTACAGGCTATGACAGGCTTCCCACACCATGCAGATGGCTTACCATTTCATAGGATTTGACAGGCTTCCCACATGACTCACCAGTCTATAGGCTTTGACAGGCTTCCCACACCATGCAGATGGCTTACCATTTCATAGGCTTTGACAGGCTTCCCACACCATGCAGATGGCTTACCAGTCTACAGGCTTTGACAAGCTTCCCACATGACTCACCAGTCTATAGGCTCTGACAGGCTTCCCACACCATGCAGATGGCTTACCTGTCTACAGGCTTTGACAAGCTTCCCACATGACTCACCAGTCTATAGGCTCTGACAGGCTTCCCACATGGCTTACCATTTCATAGGCAGTGACAGGCTTCCCACATGACTCATCAGTCTATAGGCTCTGACAGGCTTCCCACACCATGCAGATGGCTTACCAGTCTACAGGCTTTGACAGGCTTCCCACATGACTCACCAGTCTATAGGCTTTGACAGGCTTCCCACACCATACAGATGGCTTACCAGTCTACAGGCTTTGACAAGCTTCCTACATGACTCACCAGTCTATAGGCTCTGACAGGCTTCCCACACCATGCAGATGCCTTACCAGTCTACAGGCTTTGACAAGCTTCCCACATGACTCACCAGTCTATAGGCTCTGACAGGCTTCCCACATGGCTTACCATTTCATAGGCAGTGACAGGCTTCCCACATGACTCACCAGTCTATAGGCTCTGACAGACTTCCCACATGGCTTACCATTTCATAGGATTTGACAGGCTTCCCACATGACTCACCAGTCTATAGGCTTTGACAGGCTTCCCACACCATGCAGATGGCTTACCAGTCTACAGGCTTTGACAGGCTTCCCACATGACTCACCAGTCTATAGGCTTTGACAGGCTTCCCACACCATACAGATGGCTTACCAGTCTACAGGCTTTGACAAGCTTCCCACATGACTCACCAGTCTATAGGCTTTGACAGGCTTCCCACACCATGCAGATGGCTTACCAGTCTACAGGCTTTGACAAGCTTCCCACATGACTCACCAGTCTATAGGCTCTGACAGGCTTCCCGCACCATGCAGATGACTCACCAGTCTATAGGCTCTGACAGGCTTCCCAAATGACTCACCAGTCTATAGGCTCTGACAGGCTTCCCACACCATGCAGATGACTCAACAGTCTATAGGCTCTGACAGGCTTCCCAAATGACTCACCAGTCTATAGGCTCTGACAGGCTTCCCACAGTGGCGGCATGGCGTCTTAGCAGCAGCTCTGTCAGCATCTGAAACATCCATGATGATGTTTCAGTTACACAGGACAAAACCATGATGTTTCAATGACATGTGTGAATACCATTTTTAGGTGACTTGGGACAATACCATGATGTCTGAATGATGCAGGACAATACCATGATGTTTCAGTGAAAGGGAACAATACCATGACGCTTCAAAGATATGGACCAACAGCATGGTGTTTCTGTGATATGAGACACTACCATGGTATTTCAGTAACACGAGACACTACCATGACACTTCAGTGACACGAGATAATACCATGACACTTCGGTGACGCGAGACACTACCATGATGTTTCATTGAAGCGAGACACTACCATCATGCTTCAGTGACACGAGAAACTACCACGACACTTCAGTGACACGAGACACTACCATGGCACTTCATTGACACGAGACAATACCATCATGCTTCAGTGACACGAGACAATACCATGACACTTCAGTGACACGAGACACTACCATCATGCTTCAGTGACACAAGACACTACCATGACTCTTCAGTGACACGAGACAATACCATGACACTTCAGTGACACAAGACACTACCATCAGGCTTCAGTGACACCAGACACTACCATGACTCTTCAGTGACACGAGACAATACCATGACATTCAGTGACACAAGACACTACCATGATGTTTCAGTGACACCAGACACTACCATGATGTTTCAGTGATGCGAGACACTACCATCATGCTTCAGTGACACCAGACACTACCATGACACTTCAATGACACGAGACAATACCATGACACTTCAGTGACACAAGACACTACCATGATGTTTCAGTGACACCAGACACTACCATGATGTTTCAGTGATGCGAGACACTACCATCATGCTTCAGTGACACCAGACACTACCATGACACTTCAATGACACGAGACACTACCATGATGTGTCAGTGATGCGAGACACTACCATCATGCTTCAGTGACACCAGACACTACCATGACACTTCAATGACACCAGACACTACCATGATGTTTCAGTGATGCGAGACACTACCATCATGCTTCAGTGACACAAGACACTACCATGACTCTTCAGTGACACGAGACAATACCATGACACTTCAGTGACACAAGACACTACCATGATGTTTCAGTGACACCAGACACTACCATGATGTTTCAGTGATGCGAGACACTACCATCATGCTTCAGTGACACCAGACACTACCATGACACTTCAATGACACGAGACAATACCATGACAATACAGTGACACAAGACACTACCATGATGTTTCAGTGACACCAGACACTACCATGATGTTTCAGTGATGCGAGACACTACCATCATGCTTCAGTGACACCAGACACTACCATGACACTTCAGTGACACGAGACAATACCATGATGTGTCAGTGACATTTTCATAAATTGTGTAAATCAACAAACTCACCATATCCAAATTCCCCGTCAGATGACATGTCACTATCATCAGATGCATAGACCCTCTGTTGATGACCTGCACGAGGTGTGAACATGTATTCTTCATCCAAGCCCTCCGCCTTCCCTGTTTCGGAGGCAACATTACGCGGTCTCATCGGTGGTTTCTTTTTACTTTTCCTATGAGGACTGACAGACACTGGGGACAGGAAGTCGGCAAACTCATCCTCCTGACCAGGTTCGTGGAAGAAGGCATCAAACTCGGAATCTAAATGATTGACAAATGAGCGAAACGCATCTGAAAATGTAGGAGGCTGTTTTGTGTATTTCGGTGGAGCCTTTTCTTCTTTGTAGGTCCGAGTTTCCTCCCCTTTCTGATGCCACGGTTTCTTCCTCTCTTCCTTATTCTTCCCAAAGAAGGAACTTGTCCAGTGTGGATCTCTCTTCTTCCCCGGGTCTTTGTTTTCCTTCTTCTCCGATTGTGTTTTTGTGCTGGAGGTATAGGATTCTGAAGATGTATACTTTGGGCTGTTGTTTGTCTTAAAGAAACTTGATGATTGTGCATTTGTGGTTTCTGTTTTCTTGGCTTCTCTCTTCTTGTTAATATCTCTCTCAAGTATCTCTCTCCGATCTTTGCTTTGGAGGTAATCATAAGCTGCTGAAATTTCTTTAAACTTTTCTTCTGCACCTGCATCTTTGTTTTTGTCTGGGTGCCACTTCTTGGCCAGAGTGCGAAAAGACTTCTTAATTTCATCTTCAGAGGCCCCTGGTTTAAGACCCAATGTGTCAAAGTGGTTCTTAGTCATTGTGACCCATGCCACCGGATATATGGCATGGAGTGGTCAAGGGTCACGGTCAAACAGCTGAAGGAAAAAAAGTATACTACTTATTATGAATTATTACTATATATTAAGAATCCAAGGTTTGTTTGCAATCTAAGACGGCAAACACAATCAACTGCAGCTTCAGTGAGTGAGTGAGTGAGTGAGTGAGTGAGTGAGTGAGTGAGTGAGTGAGTGAGTGAGTGAGTGAGTGAGTGAGTGAGTGAGTGAGTGATCAAACACTTTTGAACAAAATAAAAAAAAAATTAAATCCCATATTGCCAACATAAGGCACTTGAATCCTAGATAAATACTTGTAGAGAAAAAATAGATAACACTTTGATGGTGTTTACAGCTTAAGATTCTGATAGAAAAAAGAATTTATGATAAATGCAAATAGCTCCCAATGTCAGGTAAAAAGAGACTCAGAAATTGTAGATTTATAATTTTTAAAAGCAAACCGATTCACCACACCACTGTATATTGTCTACACAACATAGGTAAATATATATATAAAGTGAGATTCACTGGTGTCAGAGACCATACAAGTACAGTAGCACATATGTAAAGAAATTCACAAAATATTTACACGCCACGGTTGTTTCAGGTTTATCTTCAGGAAGAAGTGATTACAGTTATTAGTTGCACCTTAGTAAGGAACTGGGAAGACATAGGCATGGCTACTGATGCCACGAGGGTGAGACGGCTACTGAATCATTAGCCTACTGACGTGGTTGGTTGTTTGCTTTGTTGTTTAACGCCGCACTCAGCAATATTCCAGCTATATGATGGCGGTCTGTAAATACTCGAGTCTGGACCAGACAATCCAGTGATTAATATCATGAGCATTGATCCACGCAATTGGGATCGATGACATGTATCAACAAAGTCAGTGAGCCTGACCACCCGATCCCATTAGTCGCCTTTTACGACAAGCATAGTCATCTTTTACGGCAAGCATGGGTTGCTGAAGACCTATCCTACCCCGGAATATTCACGGTCAGGTCTACTGACGTGAAGTAGTGAGTGGAAGTGGCTTCGGTCGAAATTCCATGACAGTTTCCTGTAGCCAAAACATTTGACATAAACTATTTCCTCCTGCTAACTCAACATTTTTGTGAGAAGAATAAATGCAAATTAAAATGTGAAAACAATAAAATTAACAAAAATACCAAGATAAGTGCATGCTGGATTAACCACCACTGAAAGGAGATATGACTGATCTGAAGGAACTACAAGCTTATAATTGTCAGGAAAAATGACGGCGACAAACAGGATCAATCCACATAAATGTACATACATTTTCCCCAAGATGCCATTCTATGTGGAGGAAACATATTATTCTTAATCTCTGGTCGTGGAGTGAGTGAGTGAGTGATTATGGTTTTAGGCCGCTTTTAGCAATATCCCAGCAATATCACGGTGGCGAACACCAGAAATGGGCTTCACACATTGTACCCATGTCGGGAATCGAACCCGGGTTTTTCGGCTTGACGAGCAAACGCTTTAACCCCTAGGCTACCCGACCGTCCCTCTGGTCTTGGAGCAAAATGCTTGGTGAGCATGTTGTCTCCCATGTTCTATGAATTTGTTTGTTTTTTATCTTCACAAATGCCACTGGTCTTACCAGAATTTAACTGAACCTCTTGCTTCATTGTGTTGTGTTTGGTGATCACACTAAACAAAACTCTTCCTCAGATATCTTTAAAAAAAAATATGCATAAACTGCTGCCTGCTCTAAAATTTGCCACCGCAGGCTATTAAGTAAACAAATATTGAAAACTCTCAACATTGCTGGGTTTATTCAGTGACATTACGTGAAGAGATGAGTGAGTGAGTGAGTTGGGTTTAACGCCGCTTTTAACAGTATTCCAGTTATATCGCGGCGTGTCAGCTTAATGTGGGAGGAAAGCCAGAAGTGATGCAGGTCTCAGACGTTTACCACTTCGGTGAAATCACGAGCATGGGTATGGTGCTTACAAACCTAGAAACATAATCGGGGTGAACCGGGATTCGAACCCACAATCATAGGTTTCTGGTGTGCCCAAGGGACGCAACTCCGCACAGCGAATCGCGGGGCCTTAGATGACTGGGCCACCCGTGCCCCCCATGCAGAGATGATAGATCACACTCAATGACCCCTGACTTCACATGGTATTGTTTCACCGTGTATCTGGCAACACAATATCACAAACTATGCCAAAGGGTATTGTCACATATTTGAAAAGTTTGTGGTACTGTATTCAAGTGAGTGAGTGAGTATGATTTTACGCCACTTTTAGCAATATTTCAGCAACATCATGGCGGGGGACACCAGAAATGGCCTTCACACGTTGTACCCATGTCGGGAATCGAACCCGGGTTTTCGACGTGACGAGCAAACGCTTTAACCGCTAGGCTACCTATTCTAAAGGTAGGCCTCTTGTTTATATTTCTGGCTTCACCTGTTGAGACTTTTTTCACCTTATTACAGCGGCCTTGTGGACATAACAGGCTTCTCCACTCTACTGTAACCACACCCCAATCTATATAAATGTATAATTTATAAACTCAACTTGTCATGTACCAGTTATCGCTATTTTTTTTCATGTGATTTCTGACATATTCCGTGCACAAAGTTCACTGTACCAATAACTTTTATTTCTGTAAAATTATGAGCAAATGTGCTTATTTCTGTCTGTAAAATAAGATTCAGTTGATTTCTGTTATAACGCTACGATGGGGAATCAAAACAGTGGAAATAGAACTTTCCTGTCGACTTACTGTACCAGTTATTCCCATCGTCAAAAGAGGATGTGCCATGTGATCAAGCGCACCACTTCAGTAATACAAATTACATGTTTTTAGTATCTCGGGTATCGCACTCAGTTTTTTCATTCATCAAATTGAATAAAAAATGCTATCATCAATTTGTCATCTGCAAACTGACAAAAAGCAATAATTCCCTAAATTCCATCTACACATGCGCTTATCGCGGTACAGAGAAAAGTTGTGTATGGAGGTCCGAATTGGACAAAAAGAGGACATAATTCTACCAACCACTTAGTATGATCATGCCAGACATCAGTGATTTGTCCAGACAAGTGCAAAGACGGCACAAGTAAAATTCTAAATGTGTTATCTGTAATAGGTATTCAATGCATGTTTACAGAAAAGTAAGAGAAACGTATTTTAAAAATCGAAAACAAAATATCAGAAATGATATTCTAAGATCGTTTATAAAAAAAATTGGATGACAATAATTTGTCACATAATGGAAAAATGTTAAACGTTAACAATAAATATATAAAAAAACACTCCTAGTATGCCCAAAGTATTTATTTAACTTTTGGCTACTAGTGAAGAACTTTTTTCTAAGTTTGGCATTATGGCCCTTATGATCTCCCAATAGATTCTGGACACAGAGCGGGAAAAAATGTGCAGACTACGTAACTTCCGTTACCTTATTAGTCGCCATGAATATGCAGATGATCTAGTTCAGGTCGATAGAGAAAGTTTACTTGGGGAAGTGAGGGTTATATCGTTGGCCATTTATAGATGGGGGTAAGGCAATATTACAAAAGATGCTAGAAATATGTATCAACGCATTAATAAATCATAACCTACAGCAGACGGAACATTCCGAGGAAATTGAAATTGTTTACGAAGTGAGCACTTCCTTGTTACTGATTTGCATTAATAGACAGCTGCTAAGAGGCGTGTACCCCGTGAACTACCGGCAATCATAAATGCCGCGATACGATGAATGCCGCGGTACCATGGGGTCCGAGTATACTATGAATTTTGTGATATATGCAGGTTATGCATGTTTGTATATCTCCAATAGGTTTTAGAATTTAGAATATTTTTGGGAAGAAATGACAGACAGAGAGAGCAAAGACAGAACTGAAAGTGCATCATCGTGTTGTTTGATTTATATTTTCGAGAGAATTATTCACATGGGACAGCCTGCTTGCCTTTTTTAAAGCTGTATTTGAGCAAGGTGATTATGTTGTTTCTAAAAATATTACCTCACAATAGTCCGTTTTGTCAGAGACCATATGATTTTCGGATAAATATTTCTTTTTTGTCATGAAAACGAGCAAAAGTAGAATGAGATGCGATCATGTGTTCGAAATAACAGGAAGTTGACGATAATTGGTCCTCGACGAGAAGAGGTCGCTAGCCAGTACCATTTACTTGGGCTTATCATCCTGCTCTGTACTTGACTTCCTTGAAAATGGTGTTAGATCCTACACTGAAACCTAATTGATTAATATTATAATAAAGAATTCCAAGTAATTCATCCATCATATCCTTATGAAAATGAATACCTTTATTCAGCTATTTTGGTAAAGAGAATAGTAGCATTAGGCCATTTTCATGATCATGGTGATTTGTTCAAATTTAGAAAAAACTGTGTGAATCGGAAAATGTTCGCAGTCTTGCATGAAGTAGACTGCCATTGTTTACGTGAAGACTGTGCAGTGTTGACAGTAAATGGTCGGAGTACATGAAATCCCTAAAATGTATCGTCATTTGATAAATACACTGTGTAATCTCATACCTTTGTCTCAATTACCTGATATTAACATCCTCTCATAACAACGACACTCGACTCTCGCCATTTTGACGCCATGTTATGATGAAAGCTCGTTGGCCGTGCATGCTACACAATATGCTCATGCTGTCAACAGAACTCGCAGCGTCGTCGGTGTATGGAGCTTTGTTATATTGCATGACAACAATACTACTTTCTGAACAACTTTGAATTGTCGCAACCAAAAGTCGACTTTTTTGACGAATGGACGTTCCGACTAGCTCCGAAATAACAATTCATGTACATATTTGCTGTACAAGACGTAGTGTCTACCGTATTATATTAGTAAAGACATATTTAGAGTGTACTTCTTAATCATGAGCATTTACAAAAGTTTTCATAATGTGAAAATGTACGTTGTACCATTAAATTTAACACGTGTTTACAAGGACAATGCTATGTATGTCACCAATGTACCTAAAATAAGAAAACCCACCGACGTTGCAATTTATCAATAGCAGTGTTTCATCTTTATTACACACACATAATGTCAGAGATAGCTATATATAGTTGGTTGTTGGTTGTTTTGTTGTTTAACGCCGCACTCAGCAATATTTCAGCTATATGACGGCGGTCTGTAAACAATCGAGTCTGGACCAGACAATCCAGTGATTAATATCATGAGCATCGATCCACACAATTGGGATCGATGACGTGCATCAATTAGGCAGCGAGTCTGACCACCCGATCCCGTTAGTCGCCTTTTACGACAAGCATAGTCGCCTTTTACGGTTGCTGAAGACCTATTCTACTCCGGATCTTCACGGTTCTATATATAGAGATATATATAGATATATATTTACACACATGAAGACAGAAAACTTGAGCACAAGCTTATAGAAATTATTTCGTGTTTCGTGAAATATCATGTTAATATTTTCTTATCGAGTGACGGGGGAAAGGAGATATTTTCACGAGGGCATAGTATTTTTATATACTTTTTGTGAAGTTGTCTACTGGAATTTCATTACAAATGTAAAACATTAAAACGTAAATTCAGCCTACCTAACACACTGGGACGGTTCACCACCCCTTGTATTTTCGACTAAAAAGTAGTTTCGTGTTCCCAAATCCTAAAAAAATATAAACAAAAGTAAAGACAAATATTTAGGGTCACGAAATTTCCTTGTACATGTAAGTACGATTGCATACAAAATCAATTTGAATTTTTTTATCTTGAAACTATACGAGAGCGCTGTTTGAAGGGAAAGACAACATGTTGCTCAAGTAATAAAATTGGCGCTTTGCGAAACGAACAGTCTAGATTGACGAGTTAAATGAGAAATTTACGGATTATTACGAAACATTTTCGTGAAAATAACAAACTGCAAGAAGAGATATGAACTCAATAAATGACCATCTGTCATTAGTTTGCCTTTTCTATGTGAAACTAACGTAAAACAAATGTCAACATTTTGTGTACGGGCTAGACACTAACGACAAAGGGAGACAATTTGAGGGGAGGTAACTCTTTTATGACAATAGATCCGTCAAAGTGTTATATTCTCTGCAGTGAAATATCAAGTGTTATGTTCACTGCAAAACTCCCGACACCTGTAATATCCTCTGTGTGCGTGCGCGCGTGCGTGTGTGCGTGTGTGCCTGCCCGTGGCTGGTAACTTTTCTGTCGGGCTGCGTGAAATGTTCCTCCACCTGCCCGAATATCTTGCAGATACTCTTTAGCCAACTTACGTATTCATTTTTATTATAACTCGTAGTAGATTCTTAAGTAATTATTTGCATTATTTCAACTGAATCAAGCGATTTTTCAATATTTATTATGTCTGAATGCGGGCAGGTAACTTTGAAGATGGGCAGGCAACATTTATGGGTTACCTGTCCTGTCTTGTTGAGTTTTAAAATTATTTCAAACACTTCAACCATTACCCCATCCCTACGCCTACCCCATAGAAGGGCGGTATTTATGTGGTAGTCCATGTGATGATTCACGTGTATTTAATGTGAATAGCAACACCGGGCTTATATGGTAGGTGATCAGTGTCATACATTATTTGAACTATTTTCGCAGACCTGTATGCCGACAAAGGTTGCGTTAGATAATCCATGCCTTCCCTAGGTCACCAGGTGAGGTGAGGTGAGGTGAGGTGAGGTGAGGCATATTGAGTTTAACGTCGCTTCTAAGATTATTGCACTTATATAGCGACGTGCATGTACGTGTATGTGTTTGTGTTTGTGTGGCTGCTTGTACTAGTCCGGACTGATGCCGATTTATAGTGCTAGCTCACTGAGATACCATGCCGCAGTTTAACATGAATACCCCACTCAGACACAGTATACTGACTCCGAGCCGACCAGTCCTTGTTTAAGGCCCTTAATGCCGAGCGCCAGACAGGGTAACAACAAGTACCATCTTTTAACCTCTTTTGGTATGACGCGGTCGGGGATCGAACCCTAGGTCACCAGGAATAATGAACGTCTATAGCTCTGTTAATATCTTAATGGTTCTCTGTTCCAAACGCATGCAATAAATATTTGTTGTGTTTTATCAGTGGCCCTCGTGAAATACGAAGAAACAGTGAAGAGAATATTTTCTGTCTAGTGTCATTTAGTGAGTGAGTGAGTGAGAGAGTATGGTTTTACGCCGCTTTTAGCAATATTCCAGCAATATCATGGCGCGGGACACCAGAAATGGGCTTCACACATTGTACCCATGTCGGGAATCGAACCCTGGTCTTCGGCGTGACGAGCGAACGCTTTAACCAATAGGCTACCCGACCGCCCCCTAGTGTAATTTAACATCTCAAGCAAGAGACAACGGTATCAAAATATATTCTACCGTGACTTTGATGAATGCTTGATTCTGACTGGTTAAAAGAGGTTTCCTTTTTGCTACGAAACCCATTTAAAATATATTAAACCTTTTTCACACTAACAGCGTGCGTATGAATACATCGATAGCCTACATACCGATTCATAAGTAAATGGCTGCCGATCGTTCACCCCGAAATGAACTGTAAAACGAATCTATATTTCCTCTATAATACGCTAGATCTCTAATACAAGCCATGTCTCTAATACACGCCGAGTCAACGGCTCTCGCAAAATTGATAGACGGCCTAGCGTCTAAGAGAGGAAATACGGTAATTTTATATCGGATGTTTTTGGCGTTCTAGGCCTGACGCTTTCGTTGATGACATTACAAGATTTAACGAAGGCATATCTTTTCCATACAAATGGAATGTTTATGAAACTGTTAGGGTGAGGTGAAGTGAAATTGGGTTTAACGTCGCGTCCAAGATTTATGCACTTATATAGCGACGTGCATGCACGTGTATGTGTATGCTTGTACTAGTCCGGACTGATGCCGATTTGTAGTGCTAGCACACTGAGATACCATGCCGCAGTTTAACATGAATACCCCACTCAGACACAGTATACTGACTCCGAGCCGACCAGTCCTTGTTTTAGCCCCTTAATGCCGAGCGCCAGACAGGGTAACAACAAGTACAATCTTTTAACTTCTTTTGGTACGACGCGGCCGGGGATCGAACCCCGGACCTTCCGCTTTTCGGGGCGGACGCTCTACCACTAGACCACGGAGGCGGTCGAAACTATTTACTCTACAGAGGGACTAAATCAAATTTCTAAACACAATATGTTTATCTCCTAATTCTCGCTCTCAGATGGGTTTTACATTAACTTATTATTACAGTCAGTGGTATTTCCATGTCCACCTTATGATTATTATCTTTTATGATTGTACTTTTTGTTTATTAACTATGTTTGTCTTTCTAGGTATTTGTTGCTGAAGGAAATTGAGTGTTCACAAATGGGGAATCCCCGAATGACGTCTGACGAGTGTTGATGTTTATCGTGATCTGGGCGGCAGGTGCACATACGGGGAATCCCCGAATGACGTCTGACGAGTGTTGATGGTTATCGAGGTCTGGACGGCAGGTGCACAAACGGGGAATCCCCGAATGACGCCTGGCGAGTGTTGATGTTTATCGTGATCTGGATGGCAGGTGCACAAATGGGGAATCCCCGAATGACGCCTGGCGAGTGTTGATGGTTATCGTGATCGGGACGGCAGGTGCACAAACGGGGAATCCCCGAATGACGCCTGGCGAGTGTTGATGATTATCGTGATCTGGATGGAAGGTGCACACACGGGGAATCCCCGAATGACGCCTGGCGAGTGTTGATGTTTATCGTGATCTGGATGGCAGGTGCACAAAGGGGAAATCCCCGAATGACGCCTGGCGAGTGTTGATGTTTATCGTGATCTGGATGGCAGGTGCACAAATGGGAAATCCCCGAATGACGCCTGGCGAGTGTTGATGTTTATCGTGATCTGGATGGCAGGTGCACAAACGGGAAATCCCCGAATGACGCCTGGCGAGTGTTGATGATTATCGTGATCTGGATGGCAGGTGCACAAACGGGGAATCCCCGAATGACGCCTGGCCAGTGTTGATGATTATCGTAATCTGGATGGCAGGTGCACAAACGGGGAATCCCCGAATGACGCCTGGCGAGTGTCGATGATCTTCGAGGTCGGGACTGTAGAATTATGTACAGCTGACAACGATGTGTTTCATGCCAATTATATATTCATAATTATCTTTAGAGCCAACAAGTCATGATGCGTGGTAGCATTAACCGATGTTGAATATAACTGAAAAACTCTCTGTTATTATCTGTTGATTATGTGTCTGGGGGTATGACACTAGAATGAGCTCTAGCAATGCTTAGACATTGTTTTCCTTTATATACTTGTAGGTCTGCTATTTTGCATGTGGTGCTTACGAATTAATTTTTGATAGTGATTCACCTGACAACAACAGAAAAAGAAATGTTCAATGTGCACACGATAGACGAGACAGAAACCTGTGACCGTCAGTTCGAATCGCTGCCCAAAAGAGTGGTGGAATGGGGTTTAACGTCGCGTCCAAGATTATTGCACTTATATAGCGACGTGCTTGTACGTGTGTGTGTGGCTGCTTGTACTAGTCCGGACTGATGCCGATTTATAGTGCTAGCTCACTGAGATACCATGCCGCAGTTTAACATGAATACCGCACTCAGACACAGTATACTGTCCAGTCCTTGTTTTAGCCCCTTAATGCCGAGC